GGCAAATGGCCTGGTAAACTGAATAGACAATTCTCAAAAGAAAAATTCAAATGGATACTAAATGCTTCCCATCCTTAGCCACAGGAAGATGCAGATTTACCCTACTTTTCAATTCCATCTCACTTCAATCAGAATGGCTATTGTCAGGAAAACAAATGACAACAAATTTTGGCAAGTGTGCAGTCAAAGAGGAACTCTTATACACTAAGGGTGGGCATATAAGCTGGTACAGCAACTATGGAAATCAGTGTGGAAGTTTCTTTGAAAAGTAACAGAGGTTAGAGAGATGACTCAGCAGCTCATGCTGCTCTTGTAGAGGACCCTACATCAAGTGTTCAGCAACCACATCAAAAGTGGCTCACAACTTCCTGTAACTCCAGCTCCAGGGGATCCCACATATCTGGCTTCCAAGGGCACTATCACACAGGTGCATGAACATGCAAATGCATGCATGGTTTAAAAATGATAAAAATAAAACTTCAAAAGAATCAATTAAAAATAGGACTACTATATGACTTATCACTCCTGAGCATAAACCCAAATGACTCTAAGTCAGCATACCACAAACATCCTTGCACATCCATGTTATAGCTACACTGTGCACAATCACTAGCAAATAGAACCAGCCATCAACAAATGAATGGATAATGAAGATGTGGTACATATAAAACTATATAATTTTGTGCAGCTATAAAAAATGAAATTATGATATTTGCTGGAAAATCGATAGAGCTGAAAATCATTATGTTAAACAATATAAGCCAGACAGAATGAAAAATGTTCCATATGTTCTCTCATATATATGTGGGCCCTAAATTTAAAATTGTACATATAGTGTATGTGTTTGTATATGTGTATTTGTACGTCAAAAGCTGGAAAGGAGACCATAGGTGGAGGAACAGATCTTAAAGGAAGTAGGAAGTAGAGAAGGCAATAGAATACATGTAATAGGAAAGCAAAAAGAGAGGGCCAACTAGTAAAAAGGGGAACCTGGTAAGGGAGGAACAAAGGAGAATGAAATATAATAACACATATGTATGATGATGCCATGCGAAACCCATTACTTGGTATGCCAGCCAAAAGAACTCAATTTTAAAAAATCTTTTTGAAAGAATCCTTTTTTGTTTTAATATCTTCATATGTAGAATGGAGCTTAGAATTCTTTTCTTGCTTAGTTGTGAGAATCCTATGACAACACTATTTTGTATATGGTAATAATTGTATCAAAAGTATAATAATACTGGTTGTAATTAAAAATAGCTAGTATTATATTATCATATTATTATATTATTATTATATTATCATAGCCAGCATGAATGGATGCCTAAAACATGTAAAACTTACTTCCAGGAGCCTTAAAGATGTTATTTCGTTGATTTCTCATATCAACACTATATGGAAAGTTCTAATAGTCTGTCTATTTTCCATTTGAAGAAACTCAGGTATGAAAAGATCAGCTAAATTGACCAAGGTTATATAGCAATTAAATGCCCAGCAAGTAAGTGATGCATTGGTTTAAATAATGAAAAAGGTAAAACCATGAATTGTCTTTGGGTATATTCATATGGATGTAAAATTAGCATGCAGTCTAATTGGAAGAATACAAAAGCAATAGAAACAACCTGAATTATAGGTTCTTGATGAAATGAATAATGATACAGCCACATTACAAAACACACTTCAGCCACTAATAATTGTTATGCAGCTCTGTGTTGATGGCCATGAAGTAATAAGTGATATGAAGTCACATAGTTAAGTGAACAGAGCAGCACAATACACTCTGGAGGTAATAAGGCCATATTTCTGAAAAATCACGATTGTGATTAAGAGAGTGCATGGGAAATTCTCTCTCTCTTTCTCTCTGTCTCTGTCATTCTTTCTATCTGTCTCTCTGTCTCTCTTTCTGTGTCTGTGTTTGTGTACGCGTGTGTGCGTGCGTGCGTGCGTGCGTGCGTGTGTGTGTGTGTGTGTGTGTGTGTGTGTGTGTGTGTGTGTGTATGTATGTGTAGCCATAGGAAGGTGTGCCTGGGAGAAAATACAACAAAAGGTAATGGGAGATGGTAATTTACTCTTTATTTTCCTATATCACTTAAAGATAATTCCTTATTCCTATATTAGAAAAATGAATCAAATTCCATTATGAAAAAATGGATATTGGAGATGGAAAGGGAATCTGTGAAGGGTGAGAAACTTTGAGGGAAATATGGAAAAGAAATAATGGAGGTAAGCCCAATTTTTAATGAGACCTCATACTAAACTAGAAATACTACATTACTATAAGTGTAATTTTATTTTTCCTTATAAACAATTGAGGTAAATGTTGAATGAAGTGACTTAGTTATGAAAGCCATGGATCCAGCAACAGCAGCACTGAAGCTTAATTTTAAAGTCTCTTTGGTTTAAAATCTTCCCATTTCCTATCCTGTCCTGTGCCATACACCCTTTCAGTGGCTACTTCCTTTTCCCAAGCCCTTTATTTCCATCTTGGCAAACTCACCAGTCATGTTGTTCTGAATCAGGTGTGTAATCGCCCCTTCAATCTGCTCTGGATCCTGGAAACTAGGCAATGGTTGGCTTGGGATGGTTGAATCCAAGGAGCTCAGCAGGTCTGAGAGGGAATATGGAATTCATTGGCATGAAGAGAGAAAAAAGATAGTATTTGTTGTCCTCTTTAGGTTCAGTGTGATGTATAGAAATTCAAGTTTAGGAAGTATTGATGCCTCCTGGAGAATGTTTCTACAGAGTAAGCTTTCACTCATCTCTACAAGTAGCAACGCCTAGAATGTCCAGAACCTTCTATAAGGTGACTCACACTTGCCACTGAGAGTTCCCTTTGCATAAGGTAACCAGGAAAGGCCCCCTGGGCCCTGCACTTGAAAGATTGGTGCATTTTGGTCTTCTGAACATCATTCAGTTTTCATCTTGAACTTTGTTGTTCTTAGTGATAACTCGAAGTGGCCTGTGAAAGATGTCAATAGGACGGCCGTCCCTTAAGTGTGATTGTCTTTGATGCTCTCTCTGGCCAGGTTGTCCTTGAACTCTATACCCTTACAAAGAATAACTTATTGGCAACCAAAGTTTATTTGAATTTGTTTTAATAAAATTGATAATTCAAAATACTTTTCAGGGAATAAAAGCTAATTACTGGTCTACGTTGTGTGAAAGCTAAAGGATGTATCTATTCTCTAGCCCTTTCCTTCATAGGACTCTCATAATATGGTCCTTCTAAATTTGGGATTCCAGCCTTTTGGATTCCATTTAGCTGCCTGGGAGAGAGGAGGGCCCATTTTAGACTGACAGCTAAAAGTTATGGGAGTTTACATGTGTATGTGTTGAGGTAGATGCACTTCAGTGCCTGGTCTAATCAACTGCCTGTTACAGCTCCCATGCCAAAGGCTCAGAGTGCCCATCCTAGAATGTCTACTAGCTTCCCTTGGATTTGCTTAGCTCAGGAGTATGATAAAGTGGGATCAGTATTTGGGAACAGAGGTTGGATAGGGTGGAGGTTGACTCCAACCTGTCTTGAAAGTCTTGACATCCTCTTGGACTTCTGGAGCTGCCTTCTGCACGATCTTGCTCTTCCCATCTTGGAGTTCTGACATCATGAAAGGACAATGGCTCTTGGCCCAAGATGGAGAGTCTAACAAAGGTAAGAGAGTAATTGGAGGTTCATTCTTAGCTATACATTGTACTTAGCAATGATTCCTGGGACTTACTGAATCCCAGAGTTCTATTACAGGCAAGGTTATTAGAGACAAGGAGTTAAATAAATCTGGTCTTATTGCTGGCAAAATTCCTAAGCAGGGAGAAGTAGCACACACTAACAGCACCTTGGGAACTGTGGAATGGGAGAAAAGGCAGGACAAATGAAATCCAGACCATATAAAGGATGAGACCAAGAGTTGGTACTGGATAGGCTGGGGGTCTAGGCAGGCTTTGCAGAAGCAATGATGCCCAAATTCAGTTTTAAATGAGAGGTATGAGAGGAGATAATAGTATAGGAGAAGGTCATATGTCAAATGCAAACTCAAGGAATCATAGGCCAAGAAAATTGATTTGAGCAATTTTAATCTCTTTCAGCATGGATGAAGTATAGTGTGTGAAGAACATGGAAATAAGATTCTAGCAGTGGTTCTCAACCTGTGGGTCACAACCCTTTGTGGGCATATCAGATATCCTGTATATAGGGTATTTACATTATAATTCATTGGCACTTTTGTGTGACTCCTAACAGTGGGAACAGGGGCTCTCTGACTCTTACTGGCTTTTGGGACCTACTCCTCATCCTGGGTCACCTTGTCTTAGTCTTACTGCAACTTGATATGTCATGCTTTATTTATATCCATGCGAGACCTGCCCTTTCCTAAACAGAAACAGGGAGGAGGAGGAGATTGAGGGTGGGAACAGAGGGGTGTGGGGGGGAGGGACATGGAGGAGAAGAGGGAGGGGAAACTGCAGCTGGGATTTAAAATAAATTTATTAATAAAAATTCATAACAGTAATAAAATTATAGTTATGAAGTAGCAACAAAGATAATTTTATGATTGGGGTTATCACGACATGTTATAGTTGGGGGTTACCATGACATCAGGAGCTGTATTAAAGGGTCACAGCATTAGGAAGGTTGCGAACCCCTGCTCTAGAAAGACCCTGGCAGAAGACACAGCCTGGGTATCTTTTTTTAGGTCTATTCATTCTGTCTTGACATTTTTCACACTAACTCTCCAAGCTCTTAAGGAATGATATCAGACCTGGACCCTTGTCTTTATGACCCATACATTCGCTTTCGCCAATAACCTCTTCTTACCTCCTCCAGCCTTGGTTGCCTTAAGGTGGATTTGAGAGCAGGTTGGTCCATGGGTGGCCAGGATGGGGCAGCGTCCAATACCAAATAGAAACTGGTAAGTCTTAGCCGCTTTGCCTAGGACGCCTGTGGGGCCCCGAGAGAGCACTGGGCAGGACCGTAGCAACACAGCTGCTGCCACCATCTTGAGCCCAAAGTCCTGTAGAAATTGTGGAAGAGATGAGATTTCGTCATGAGGGCCTGGCCAAAAGCCAGGTAACTAACTCATGCCTGTGGTTAATTCTTTGCTTTAGTTTCCCACTCAAAGTTTGCTGCCTTCCTCAGAGGCCTTCTTGTTATCCTTCTCAGAAAGGACCCCTGCTGTTAAAATGGGAGGGAGAAATGAGAAACACCCTAGATAAAGGGGCAAGGGAGAGACTTCTAAACAGAGGCCAGAAAGCCTGGATTCTGACTCACTCTGCCACCAGCTGCTCAGGGATCCTGAGCATCATTGACATGCCTCTGGGAATGGCAGAATGACATCTGACAATCAACCTTTGATCCACACTTGAAGCCACTGTCTTCCTAAGAATATTATCCTCAGCAAGGTGTGGTGGCACACACCTTTAATCCCAGAACTCGGGAGGCAGAGGCAGGCCCATCTCTGTGACTTCAAGACCAGCATGATCTACAGATTGGGTTCCAGGACAGCCAGGGCGACACAGAAAAACCCTTTCAAAACATAAAACAAACAAGCAAACAAAAGACTATTATCCTGAACCAAATCAAACTTTGGCCTGCTAATGCAAACAGATCCCATTCACCAGAGCTCCTGAGGATGGATATTCCTGCTGTGTCCTGAGAATATTCTACCAGCGAGGGAGAAGGAGCTTGAAGCCAGCTGTCAACTTAAGGAGATCCAGGAAACAGGAAAGTGCAGGCATGCACCCAACGGGTTGTGTACCACCAGGTTGGTATTTTTATATATTTGAATTTTCTCCAGACTTTTGGTTAAACACAGATAAAGGTAGAGGTGAAAATAAGACCCAAGAAGGTTGAAAGACATAATCTGTATAGGTCAATGAAGAAGACAGAGGCCAAGATAAAGAAAGATAGGGGGAAGTGAATAGAAAAAGACAAAGCAAGTGACATGTAACTGTCAGGGAGCATTGTCTGAATTTTGGAGTAAGTTAATGAACAGGTATGATCTTCAGTAGAGAGAGAAGGGAAGTAGGGACGAATCAAGACAACTTCAGAAAGATAGACGAAGAAAGAAAGGTGGTGGAGGAGGAAGGCCAGAAACTGAGCAAGAGAAAGCCTTCAAAGCTTGAAGGAAGGACACAGGGTAGAGATAAAAACAATGGAGATGAAGACTGATACTGAAAGACAAGACAAGAGGATGATGGGCAATTCAGGAAACAGGGAGCAATAAGAAGACAAGAGAAAGAGAAGCAGGGAATGTACCCGTAGGGACAAACAGGGACACAAAGGGGCGGTCACGTAGCAGGAGAGGGGAACCGAGCAAGGGCAGAGTGGGACACCAAGATAAAGGCGGAGGGTTAGACAATACAGACTTAGGGGAAGGAAGGGGACCATGGCCCTACTGGGGATGGGGGGAGAAAGTGAATGAAAAAGAGAAGTGGGCTTGTTAAAAACTCCAAAGATCAAGAGACAGCGGTAGAGGCAGAAGAGACGCCTCAGTGCTTAAGAGGGAGTACTCTTCTTCCAGGTTTGACCCTCAACACTCATGTGTGGCTCACAACTGCCTGTCACTCCAGCTCCAGGAAGTCTGATGCCTCTGGCTTCCACAGGCCTGGCATTCACATATACACACCTCTGCACAGATGCACACGTGCACACATCGAAAATAATAAATCTATATTTAAAAAGGAAACAGGTAGGTATAGGGGAGGAAGAAGCCTATAAGGAGGTAAGATTGAGAGATCCCAAAATGAAAGACAGAGAACAAGAGTGAGAAATAGATTGAAAGAAAAAGGCCAGTTGGAGAGCCAGGATCAAAGGGTGGACAAGATGAAGACCAGAACAATAGGAGACATAGGAGGGAAAGTGGGCAGCCTGAGGCCCAGCTCTGCCAAGAAAGCTACTGAGTACAACCCAGCAGCCCCTGCAGTGTATAGAGCCTTACTATGTGAGGGACAAGGGAGTACGAGGAACTCATGGCCTAGCCTGTCGGTAACTTCCTTCATCTCCCAAATCTCACAGAGCAAGCACCCACCTCTAGCAACCCAGTCATCTTATTCCACCTTGGAACATCCTCCCTGTCTCCCAGACTTGTCACGGCAGCCTGAGTTAGTCTGTGGGCCTGGGCATATGGGCCCGGGAGTGGTAAAAAGCAGGAAGCTGCTTGGAAGGATTAAATGAAAAAACAAAAACTAAACTAAGTACATGTGAACCCTTGAGCATAAAAAGTTTGATTTTCTTATTTAAATTCTGGCTTCCTAGCTTCTTTGTTCAATGTTTTGGGGAAAGGCACTCCTCCTTTCTAGGTCTTGGCTTTGATGAGTTGTCAAATGTGAGGTAATTATGCCTACATCATATGGTAGACCATTGATTGGATCCAGTGCCTACCTCATATCTGGAAATAAGAGTCTCCCTTCTGCCTGCCTGCCAGTGCAGGCTAAAGCACCCAAGCCTGAGCCTGCAGGGCATAGATAAAGCCCCCAGAGTTTATCGCCTCTGGGGTCTGGCCACTCCCTAAGATGAGCCCAGGGCGTGGGAGAGGAGAAGAAACCCTTCCTGGAATCACGTCTGAGCATCTGGCCAAGGCTGGCTCTGGCAATCTGTAGTGAGTAAAGATGGATGGCCTAGGTCCTTGCAAGTTCCTACAAATGTCTCCGACATCTATACTGACAACAGCAATTGCAACAATGTTGAAGTATGTAATAAGAAGGAAAGCCCTTGAGATTAGAGGCCAAGTACAGTCCTGCCCTGAAATGGTGGTGGATTGAGGCCTGCTTCCCATGTAAAAAAAACTGAAAAGGTCAAGAATACTTATCATCTCTATGGAGCTATTGGCCATAATGTACTGAGGGTCCTGGGGAAAATACAGAGTCCTTCTTGACGTGGATTGAATTCTTGATTTATTTTAAAGCTTCAATTACAACTTCTCTTGTCCCATCCTGATCTTCCTGAACATCATTATGACTTATAACTTTGTAGTGCAGTTACTTTGGACTCTGTGTCCACTGCAGAATACTACTTAATATGAAATGGGAATGACTGAAATTAAATGGAGAAAGCATTTTAAACCATTGAGAGTATTAGGAACATAGACTCTTAGCTGGGCATCTTGACACACACAGGAAGCTGAGACAGGAGGATCCTGAATCCCATGCCAGCCTGGGCTGCATAGTTCCAAGCCAGTAAGGACTTCATAGCAGATCTTTTCTCAATAGCAAAACATATACTGTGGAGCCAAGGAGTCACATCATGAATATATCAGTCACATCATGCATATATAAGGCCAAGAATGGAAAGTTGGAGATGAGATTTCTCACTCTTAATACAATTTACTGTGTGTAAACTTGGGCTCCCGCTTCGACCTCCCCGACACCTTCTGAACCTTAGTTTCTCCACAGACATTGGATTAGATAGGAAATTTCATAATTTCCCTTCTGGCTCTGATATTCAAATATTAACAGAGCTCTCACTGTTACAAATGCCCTACATACATTGACTTATTCAGTCCTCAGGACAGTGCTGTGAAACTGAGGCCCCCAAAGGGCTAATGACTCATCCAGGTCCCAGAACTGGTCAATGAAAGAAGCAGACTTTCAACCTAGGCAGTCTTCCTCAAGAGAACCCTAGCTTAGCCACTGTGGATCTGCGATCCAGACATTACATATTTTCTTAGCTGAAGGCTCGACTCTAGACACCAAGCCACGCTGCTACACCAGTACGGCTCCTTTACTGTGCATTTACCTTTTATGACAAATGCTTTCCTCAAATGTTCTAAAGTAGAATTTGAGGTACTATTGAACATTTATTATTCATTCCATCATTTAATGATTTCTACAACCCACTGCATAGAAAAAATTGCCAAGTATTCTTAAAACAAAATCAAAGAGATTATGATGAATTTTCAGGCCAAGTGGCATCGTTATTCAAAGGTTTTCCCTGCATGTCTCCAATTCTACAATTTTATGTCAGCACTCCATTTACAGCCCCATAGGCCAGAAAGACCAGCTACAACTCTGTCCCTGTGGAAAGGCAGAAGCCACTCATGAGCTTTTCTTTCCTGTCTCCCATTACTTGTGGCCTGCTTTTAAGATCATTTCATCTGAAGGAAAGTCCGCTACTTCTTCCAGGAGCTGGAAGCATCAGGCTTTGCCTCCCCTCTTTCCTACCACTGGAGAGTCAGAAGAGAATAGAAACCGAATTTAGATCATAAAGCAAAGCCAAGAGATTGGTGGAAATTGTGGGCAGCCCCTTTGGTGAATGATAGCCGACTTGCCTGGGGTCTCACAGTGAAGTAAGACTGAGGCAATCCAGGTCTCTTGCCTTTCTACACACTGACAGCGTTCCTCTTCCACCTTCTTCCCTTTATTTCTGCTGATTAGTCAGCCTCTCAGTTTCTCCCATCCTGCCTTACCATTCTTAACCACCGCCACCAAACCCTCCATTTTTCCTTCCCTAGGTCTGACCCCCCCCCCCAAGGCTCTGAAACCTTGAGCTCTGCTCTAGGGAAAGCAGACAGAAAAGGGTCAAGTGGGGGGGGGGTAGGTGGAGAATTTTGGAAGAAATGTTAAGATGCCTTCTAGAGAGACAGGAGAGGAAGAGAAAGAAAAGACAGAAACAGAAGGAGACTAATCGGGAGAGTTGAGGAAGGAGACAGAAAGGAGTGGGTACAGAGAAAAGTCCATTGACGAGAAAGTAGAAAGCATGAATGTCAAGGAGTAAGTGAAGTGAGATGAATGATACTGAAGACTAACAGAAGAGAGAGGGGAAGGAAGAAAGCCCAAACCAGAAGAGAGAGTTTGAGTGAAACTCCAGAGTCAGGTCTAGTCAACCAAAGTCACCATGCGCAGTGTGGGTGGGAGCCCTGCAAGCCCTGCACGCAGCTCTTACCTGTTGCCCTGCACTGAGGACGAAGCAAAGACGGTGAGTGCTGTGGGCTAGGACGCCCGCCCGGTTTACCCCAGCCTCTGCCTCGGCCCCGCCCACCCCGCCTTCTGCCTTGGCCCTAAGGTGTCTGGTCTCTGCTAAAGATAAAAAACCAAGTAGTCTCCTTTCACTTTCTCACTCCCGGTATCCTTTCCCCTTTCCATTTTCTTCCTCTTCTCCCTCATACAGAGCCATACAGAGCCAGGGCACCTTCAGCAGAATCACACCTCTGAACCTTCCCTTCCCTCAGCCATAGAGTGCGGCAGTAAAGGCCAGAAAGGCTAGTAAGTGGAGAGGGTCCTGAAGTCAGACCTGAAATACATTGGCCCTTAACAGTTCTAGCTGCCAGCCTCCGTGGGAAGCCATGTCAATTCAAAAGATGTTGCATCACTTCAATATATGTATGAACATTTGGCACAGTGCCTAGTCACTAATAACAGCCAGTGTTGATTTAGTGCCATTACTCTGTACCCCACGCTGTTAATTGCTTTACATCGATTACGTAGCCACATAAGAACCTTAAGACAGAGGCACTGTTATCTCTATGTTACAGATAAGAAACTAAGGCTTGGGAGGGGGAAGAAAACCTACTGATAATTACCCAACCAGCAAGTACATAGCCCAGCTACCAACTCAGAATGTACAGTTAAAATTTTGGACTTCTCTGTTTCCTAGTACCTCTTCCTTATCCCTTTTAATTTTTTCTCTCATTTCTTATTCTCCATTCCTTTCTCAAGCCTAGAGCAATGGGACTATGTTATAACTAGGTAATTTCATCTCTGTAGCAAGTTGTTATCATTAATAGTATATACATAAATAAGACGATGTTCAACATATTATGTGCCATTTCCTTTTTCCACATGGCCATACGCCAATAAACAATGGAGGTCTTTCCATATAACTCCACTGTTTAGTGGAGTTGTCATACTAAGGCATCCAAAGGTGTGGTAATTCATTTAAACATTCCCTCATTGATGGAAATGTAGAACAGTCCTAGGGATTCCCCCTCTGCTTTAGGAATAACATTGCAATACATAACTTGGAACATTGATGAAACTGTTCTACCTGGGCCTGTGAAACGGCGCAGCAAGTAAAAGTGCTTGCAACGCAAGCCTGCTCACCTGAGTCCAGTTCCGGGAAACCATGTCAAGTTGGAGGAGAGAACCAACTCCACAAAGTCTCCTATGACCTCCACATGTTCTGTGTTGCCCCTCTCCTACACACATATAAAATAAATAGAATTTTAAATAATTTCTGCTACAAAAGCATAAAGAGATTTCAATGTTGATATGACAGTTTGCCCTATACATACGGTATATTTCCCCACCAAGTGGTCATCAGGGAAGGAGAGGGATGTATACGCGCGTGCGCGCGCGCGCACACACACATACACACACACACACACACACACACACACACACACACACACACACATGGGACAGGGAGAAAATTTACCAGTTCTATTATCAGATGCATAAATCATTGTTAAAACTATACATACTAGAAGTACCTATTATCTCTGTGTTACTTTAATTGTTTTTCTTTGATTATTAATGAGATTGGACATCTTTTCACACATTTCTTGTTCATTTGCCTGTTCCCCATCTGAACCACTCAATTTACTTTTTACCCATTTTGGGGATGACTTGGCAGTATAAATTATGTGTGCTGGAGTCAGACTCACCCACATTATAGATTATTAGCTAAAGCAGTCCTGTATGTAGTAAGTATATTGTCTTAATTAGGGTTTCTGTTGCTGTGATAAAACCCAAAGGCAACTTGGGAAGGAAAGGATTTATTTCATCTTACACTTCCACATCACAGTCCATCACTGAGGGAAGTCAGGAAAGGAACCCAAGACAGAAACTGATGCAGAGGTCATGGAGGAGCACTGATTACTGGCTTATTCCTCGTGGCTTGCTCAGCCTGCTTTCTTACGGCACCCAGAACCACCAGCTCAGGAGTGGCACTGCCCACATTGAGCTCCACCCTCCATCAATCATCAGTCAGAAAATATACCACAGGTTTTCCCACAGGCCAGTCTGGTAGCATTTTCTCAGTTGAGGTTCCCTCTTTCAGAATGACTCTAGCTTATGTCAAATTGTCATAAAACTAGCCAGTACATCTATTAAACCTTTTTTCGGTGCTATTTGTTACCCAGTCTGGATTCATTCATTCATTCATTCATTCATTCATTCATTCATTCAGTAAATGTTTATTGATTGCCAACTAGTGTAACATTGTGGAGTTGGTGTGCTAAGTGCTGAAAATCATGTTGCATAGAATTGGAAAATGTGGGTATGTTGTGGTCTAGTTAACCATCTTTTAACAATTGAAGATGGTTCCCAATTCTTCTACAAAGTATCTAAAATAGAGATACAGTGGGCAGGTTAAGTGGGTAAAGGTGCTAGCCACCAAGCCTGACGTCCTGAGTTCAATCCTTGAGAACCCTATGGTAGAAAGAGAAAAACAACTCCTGCAAATTCTCCTCCCTCCTCCTCCCATGTGCTGGGTCACACATACTCTTTCCCCACACAAAATCAATCAGTCAGTCAATGTACTAAGCAGAACTATAGTAACTCCAAACTCCAGTGCTTTATCTAGCCAACCATTTGCTGCATTGGCTATTGAGTTCAGATTATCACCCTTGAGAAACCCTCCCTAACCCCACACAGGATATGGTCCCTCTTTTGTAATATCTCCCCTTCCAGAATTTTATCACATTGTGTACTAGTTAAATTACTTTATGTCTTTCCCCCCATCAGACCCTAAGAAACTAGAGAGGGATCTAAAATTATTAACTAAAGTGTCTCATAGAAGAGTTTGTTGTATTCAGTTGCATTTTTTTCTAATCTTCTCACCCTATTCTGCCCCTGCTCAGGAAAGGACTGGGAGAATAAAACCCACCCAGACTGGCATACCTCCAGTAGAGAAGAGGAAGAATGTTAAGTGACCTCGCGGGAGAACTGGAGCTTCCCAGGTTATTGGGAAGGATGCGTAAGTTGAAACTAAGGTGTTGTGTGGCAGGCTGAGAAAGAATACTTTCTGTTGTAATTTATATACCTAATGAAATATCTTACAAGCCCAGTATGGTAGTGCATGCCTCTAATCCCAGAACTCAGGAGACACAGGCAGGAAGACCTCTCTGAGTTCAAAGCCAGCCTGGTCTACATAGCAAGTTTCCGGATATCTAGTCCTATGTAGTAATACCATGTCTCATATAAAGATATTGGGGGCCTAGAGCAATGGTTCTGTGGGTCAGGTCACTTAATGCTCTGGAAGAGGACCCAGATTAAATTCCCAGCACCCACAGGGTAGCTCAAGACCTCCTTTGTACTTTTCCTGCTTCATGCGAGTGCTTGCTTGAGAATGGGTGGCTTCCTCCCTCCCCTCGTTTCCCCTCTCACTCCCTCTCCTCCTTTTTGTCCTCCTTCTCTGGTGGTTATGTGATTCTCATCTCCCTCAGAGACCAGGCTATTTGGGAAACAGACCCCATTCTAGTCCCAGATCTCTGTGTGCCAGGTGCTCAGGGAATGCTTCTCTAACTCCTTTCCACAATTCCTGCTCTACTTGAATTAACTTGTTCTGTGTTTTGGTTGATGTCCCACCAGCCTGGGAATTCCTCCAGATTCAGAGTCAGGGTGCCATTCCCGGCTGCATTTCTGGTACCAGCATGACAAACAGTAGCTCTTCAGATGATGTGTAGTTGAATAGACTTTAGTGATCTGGCTCTTGCAACTCTTCATAGTGCAGTTAGCTGTGCAGCAGTGACTATCATAGTACTCAAAGCATCGTCTGCATTTTATGTTATTTTACTATGAAATTTCCATAGTTCATGAACCATAAAGTAAACTCATGATAGAGAAAAGGAGGCTTCAAGAGGTGGGTTGTAGAACAAGACAAGAGAACACGTGAGATAGTAAAGTGGAAGGTGAATATTGAGAGGAAAAGGATACAGTGGGGAAACAGAGGGTCAGAGAGATGGGCAGGAGTGGAGAATCAATCAAAACAAAGTCTTGTGTTAATGAATAAGCTAATTTAAAAAACTTTAACTCTTGTTAAATACACAATTCAATGATTATTTGTATATTTACACAGTTGCACGATCACTGCCTCCAATGCACAACTGTTACTGTTGGTTTTTAGAAATGGTGTTATTTGTTTAAGGTATATGAACAGTTCAGAAATGAAATTCGTTCTTTAGCAATTTCATACATATATGCCATGCATTCTGACTGCTCTCAGCCCCTGCACTCTTATCTCCCTCCCTCCCCCGTCCACCCCTGCTTCACAACTAATCTCCTTCCCACATTCATGTCTTTGTTTTGTGTCCCTCTGGATATTAACTTCTTCAAGAATCTTATACACGTTATCTGCTATTTCTTTTAAGAACTGCAGCAGTTAATGATAGTCACTATAGTATATGACAAATCAGAGTTGAGAAAGATACATGGAGCTTTGTTGAGCACTCTGGTGGGTCAGACTCACCATTATCTTTCTCTTGTGTTGGCTGGAATGCCTACCCAGATTCTAGAGTGAATGTCAGCAAGTAGTCGCTATCCTCATGATTCCTTATGATCTTGTTTCAGATGTGCTATAGTTTCTGATTCTTGTGAAGTTAGTCTGTGGTTTCTAGGTGAATTTAAATAATATACTTGTAAGATTTGATAGAACAAGCCATTTGGTAGTGGCAGTTAGGTCACTTTTTAACAGCTTTCCCCGTGAGTCCCTTGATTGTTTATGTATTTACCTCTTTACTTATAAGTTTTGGCAATTGATGTTCTTAAAGTGCTATGGAGTAATATTGGGAGTTCATTTTTGATATTTGGTTAGGTATATATGGCATTTCAGAGTACAGCACTCCCACTCAAAGTATTGTAAATATTGTTTCATGAGTATATAAACTTGATATTGCAGCTAAAGTGTTCTATGACATGCTAAGAATGAATAATTTCTTCTGTAAGTAATTTATATACCTAATAAAAATATCAGCCAGGCTTGGTGGCCCATACCTTTAATGCCAGCACTCAGGAGGCAGAGGCAGGCAGAGCTCTAAGTTTGAGGCCAGCCTGGTCTACAAAACAGCATCTAGGACAGCTAGGCTGTTACACAGAGAAACCTTGTCTAGAAGAAAATAACAAAACTGAAAACAATTTACCTAGTCCATTGTAGTGACACATGCCTTTAATCCCAGAACATGTGAGGCAGAGGCAGGAAGATGTCTCTGTGTCCAAGGCCAGCCTGGTCTACATAGCAAGTTTCGGGATGTCTGGCGTTACGTTGTGAGATCATGTCTCATAAAAATATGGGGGGCTAAAGAGATGGTTCAGTGGTTAAGGGCACTTGTTGCTCTTATACAGGACCCAGATTCAGTCCCCACGTGATAGCTCAAGACAGTCTGTATCTACAGTTCCAGAGGATCCAATGCCACCTTCTGACCTCCACAGGCATTGCACACATGTGATAGGCAGACATACTTGCAGGCAAAACACCTATACACATAAAATAAAAATAAATCTAAAACTCATTTTTAAAAACTGTTACTATCAAGCCAGAGATAGCTCAGTGGGCAAAGACATTAGCTGTGCAAGCTGAATGATTGGAGTTTGATTCCATATGTGTGTGTGTGTGTGTGTGTGTGTGTGTGTGTGTGTGTGTGTGTGTGTGTATCTGCTTTGCCAGCACCATGATATTTTTTTTTAAAGATTTATTTATTATGTATACAGAAGAGGGTGCCAGATCTCATTACAGATGGTTGTGAGCCACCACGTGGTTGCTGGGAATTGAACTCAGGACCTCTAGAAGAACAGTCGGTCCTCTTAACCTCTGAGCCATCTCTCCAGCCCGCACCGTGATATTTTTATCACAATAGATCTATAATATAACTTGAAGGCTGGTATGGTAATCCCTCAAGTACAGCCATCTGATATTTGATAAAGATGCCAAAAATATACACTGGAGGAAAGAGTGCATCTCAACAAATGGTATGGCAAAAGGTTTAATTCCAGCACTCGGGAGGCAGAGGCAGGCGGATCTCTGTGAGTTTGAGACCTGCCTGATGTACAGAGTGTAGTGCCCTTCCTGTGGAAATCCTTCCCTCTCCTACTCACTAACTATACCCAACCTTTCTGGATATGCAGATTGAGCATGCCCATCAAAGCCTTAAAAGCTAATACTCAGATATAATACGAGAATAAATATAATTTTAAAATATCTTAACATTATGGGAAGTCAGAAGTATGTCTGTCCAATATAGATGTTAAGTATGGTTTTTAACTTTTCATAAGTAAGGGTATGTTTTCTTTCTTTTTGAGGTTTATATTTTCATTATTTAGAATAGTTTTTAAAATTAGATGTTTTTAGCATATTTCCCTCCCACAAGTCCTTCCAGATCCTCTTCCTGTCCCTACCCACCAAACTTTAAGTTCTTTCTCAAAAAACAAACAAAACAATACAACAACAAAACTAAAAAAACAAAATAAAACAACACCCAAAACCAAAAAACAAACAAAAAAGATAACACCAAACTGTAACCAAATAAAAGCACACACAGAACACAAACTGTGAAGTCCATTACATGTTGGTCTACTACTCCTGAACAAAAGGCCTGCTCCGGGTATACACAGTGCCACTCCACTGGGGTAAATGGTTCTCCTCCTCTCTCAGCAGGTAAAAGTGATAGTTGAGTTGTTAACCTTTGCCCTAGTGGTTAGCTTTTTATTCATTCATTCTCAAAAATATAACAAAGTAAGTATAAGATAAAACAAAAGCTATCACATTGAAGTTGGACAAAAAGAACCAACAGAAGGAAAAGGTTCCATCTCCTAGAGTGCCCCGTAAGTCAAATCAGTTCTTAGTTGGTTTCTCCCACAAGCTTTGTGCCTCCATTGCACTAGCACATCTGCAGGCAGGACACCATTGTAGACAGAGGGTTTGTGGCTGGCTTGGAGCTTACGTTTCTCTTTTGAGATCATGCAGAGTACACTCCTGTACCACAGATGCTGGAATGTTGTGGGGAAGGCTCCATGTAAGCAGCAGCTTGACTTCTCCGTGTTCAGTGAGTTGTGTGGGTGTTGTCTTCAGCAACGGGGCCTTGCTGTCAGGATGTGGAGAGCAACCTATAGTCCTGGCAACAGCCTGGGTTGTTTGGGGATTCTCATGGGTCCCCTTTAGCCAATAACTCAATTAGATGTAACTCAGTCTCAGTACTGGAAGCTTTGTTCTGTGACAACAGATGTCCAGTTGAGACTCTTGTCTCTCCCATTATTTGGTGATTCCATTTCATTATAAGTAAATATTTTAGGAAGTTTCTACCATATTAGATTTCAATACTATCCCTCAAATGCCCTTTAATTTTAGCTGTCTCTCCTGTATTCTCTCCTCCCACCTCTTCTTCCCTCCCAAGCCCCACTTGATCCTCCCATTCAAGCACCCCCTGATTGATCCATAACCATCTATTCTGTTCCCTTTCCTAATGAGATCTGTATGTTCCTTCTAGTCCCTTATTCTATACCTACTGTCTGTGGTTCTATGGATTATAGCTTGGTTATCATTGACTTAACAGTTAACATCCACATACAAGCTATCACATACCATATTTGCCCTTCTGAACCTGGTATACCACACTCAGAATAATTTATTCTAGTTTTATCCATTTCTCTGCAAATTTAATTGTCTTTTTTTTTTTTTTTTGGTTTCTCGAGACAGGGTTTCTCTGTGTAGCTTTGCACCTTTCCTGGAACTCACTTGGTAGCCTAGGCTGGCCTCAAACTCACAGAGATCCGCCTGCCTCTGCCTCCTGAGTGCTGGGATTAAAGGCGTGCACCACCACTGCCCAGCTTATATCATTTTTTAACAGCTAAATAATATGGCATTGTATACATGTAACAAATTTTATTTATTTGTTCTTCTCTTGAGGGACAACTAGGGTGTTTCCAATCTGGCTATTATGAATAGAGTAGCAAAGAACATGGTTGAACAAGTATCTCTGTGGTAGG